ACGTGTCACTCTTGGATTGGTCTGCTGCCCATTATCCCAGATGATGCCTCGGAAGTAGGCAGGGACGCAGCAGTGGAAAGTTACCAAGCACATGTGCGTTCACCTGGCGGTGAAACGGGATGCCAGCGCCATCTTGTAATGGAGTATGTGGTTGCCGTCCTCCACACTCTAATAAAGTTCCCTTACATAGAAGTTCATCTACCAGTTCTGTTCCTTTAGAGAACCCTGATTGATAAGGGGAGTTTCTTTTCTGATCCCGTCTTTTAGTATTCTAGGTACTTCTTGTATCTGTATGTGTATGTTCCCCCTTAATTTAGGGAGTTTTTCTTGTGTAATCCTGTTGAAGATCTGATCTATGCCATTGACTTTGTATTCTTCTCCTTCATCTATAATCTGAATATTTGGTATTTTTATGGTATCTTACAATTCCCACAAGTTTCCTTCATGTGTTTAAAGTATTGTTTTTATATTCTTTGCTTGTGTGGTCTAATTCCTCCACATTACCTTAAAGTTCACATATTTTGTCTTCTACTTCTACTTGATCATACTTATAAAGCTTCCCCTTCAGCTTTCTGATTGTGTTATTGAGTTTTCAGTTCCATTTTTGTTTCAACTTGAGCTCTCAATATTTCTATCTCTTTAAATAAGCTTTTGAGTCTTGGATTATCTTCATCATTTTATTCACCTATAGACATACCTTAGGTACTTTTTGTTATCCATTTAAGTTAATTGAGGGTTTTTTATGTCTTCTTTAATCTTTTTAGATTCTTTGTTCAAGTTTATGATTGTTCTCTTAATTTATGTGTGCTGAGGTTTATCTAAGTAATTCTCTTTGGAGAACATTTCTATAGTACTAAAGGGAGGGTTTGGCGAGGGAGGGAACATAGTATCTTGGTATTTCATAGTGTTTGTTTTTTGTGAACTTCCTTTCTTGGTCTTATATTGATTCCAACTTCAGACTGGGTCAGCGCAGGAGCTGCTGTGGGAGTAGAGCCAGGCTCGGGAGAGGAGATAGTGTGGCATACTTGGCTTAAGTAAACTCCTTAGGGAAAGACAGTGGGTGAGCTGTGTCTCCTGCATTGAGAAGTTCTAGGCAGTTATGTTCTAAATCAAAGAGTATTACTGGGAGCAAGACAATGGTCAGTAACCAGCTGGTTGAGGACTCTTGTTCTATGTGGATAGGACTTTTGGTTGGGCAAGGAAAGCTTTTTAAATGCCGGTCTCTAGTAATTTTTATTTCCATAAGTGGGTAATATCACTAAATGGTAAAAATAGGTAGGCTGTACAAATGTTATCATCCCAGGTAACCTCAGGCATCAGAGTCTTTGGGCCTAGCAGTTTTAAATCCCTGCACAGATCTCAGACATTAGAACCCGTGGCTCTATAAGCCTAACATCCTTGTGCTGATATTGGGACCTTGCCCCTTTAAATGCTGTAGGACCATTGGCCTTGCAAGTATTACGATCTCCATGCAGTCGTCTGGTATGGTTCTACTAAACCATTCCATAGGTGAATGCCCCAATTACCTAATTACCTTCTAATAGACTCTACCTCTGTTTGAATGTGTATTGTGTACACATGTTGTGTGTGTGTGTGTGTGTGTGTGTGTGTGTGTGTGTGTTTGATGTCTGTGTGTTGTATATAGAAGTTGGAAGTTGAACCCAGACCTCAGCAATTCAGCTGGTCTAGCTAGCCAGCTTGCTCCAAGGAATCTTCACTTTCTATCTTCAGAGTGCTGGGAGTGTAGATGGGCATTTATGTGGCTCTGGGGGTTCAGACCGCAGATCTCTCCCTTGTGTGACAAGCACTTTAACCTCTGAGACATCTCCCCAGCCCCCACACCCTACCTTTTAAAGGTCCCACAATCTTCAGGACTGTCACGCTGGGGACAAAGCTTTGAGCACATGAACTTTTAGAGGGCAAACTACATCCACACCATAGAGAGTGGGTGTCAGGGAGAGGGAGTTGCTTCTTTTCTACGCTCACACATGGCACCCGTGTGTGTCCTTTTCTGACATAGATGTTCTGAAGAGTTCTAACTAGCCTGTGATGGAAATCTTCTTTAGCACAGGCAACCCAGGCGTCCCCTTTAAGGGCAGTCCTTTCAGAATTGTGCTGTTAGCTCTGCTCAGGCCAGTCCCAGCTTTGGCATTTTCAGTCGCTGTGGGTTTTGGTTTATCTCTTCCAGGAAGTGTTGGCAGGGCAGGGGAGGAGGGCAGAGTTGGTTATCTGTGGGTGTTCACCTCATTCACTGACCAAAGGGCCAGTATGCCCAGGTCACTGTAAGTTCTGCAGATTCGTATCCATGGCTCTAGTCGGCCTCTGCTGGGGGGCAGGGGCACCAGAATTAGTGACTAGATTTGTCTTTTATCTGGAACTTGATCTTCCTGTGATTCTCTTTATCAAGAGAGCCTTGACTATACTTTATATCTCATGTATCCTGATTAGAAACGCCTGTCTGGACTGAACTCTGTGAATCCTGAAGCCACTGAGTGCCATCATGTTTGGGGTTCAGTGCACCAGAGAAGCTGTAATGAATGTGGACATTTCCCATTCACCCCGTGTTTCAATTCTAACACATGTAGTTAACTATGAAGCCCCAGGGGTCAGAAGCATACATTATTTTTCTGAAAGGTTTTCTGTAGCTTTCCTCATATTTTCAAAGATATTCATGACTCATAAAAGGCTTAGTGTTTTTGGACTTTAGGCCCTCTATTCTTTCCTGGCTTGGGCAGCAAGTGTACCAGTACAGACCTCTGCATTTCAACGAGCCCATCTATGAGAGACTGTAGTGAACACTCCATGGATATCAGATAACATAGCTGATTTATTAATAGCATAGAGAAAAAAATATGTGTGTGTGTGTGTGTGTGTGTGTGTGCGTGATGCAGAGAGATTAAGATTTTCAGGAATTGTTGTCCACAGCTCGAAGATGGCAAGTTCAGAATCTGAAGGGAGCTGTCGGACTGGAAGCCCAGCGAGGAGTTGCTGTTCATGTTCAAAGTTATCAGCCGGCAAAATTTTCTCTTGTTCAGAGAATTTCCATCTTTGTACTCCAGTGAGCTAGATGAAGCTATCCATATCACAAAAGGAAATCTATATTATTTGAAGTCCATGATTTAAATATTAATTTCACCAAAATAATTCACAAAACATCAAGATTAATGTTTGACCAAGTCCCTGGGCTCTGTGGCTCAGCCACAGAAACACATAGACTTCACCACACTGGCCTCAATACTTGCCAGGGGTTGCTACATTATCATTCTCATGTACAAGGAAGCCTTGAAACCTCTGGGCTTTGGAGAGTGGTTTGCGCCCTCCAAAAATCACAGAAGCCACCCCAGAGCGGGTGTTGGGAGCCACAGAACAGGTCAGGGATTCTGAAAGCCAGGAGGCTTTTAGAGCATCAACAAGTGTGATCTGGAAAAAGCAGTTCTGTAGCTGTCCTAAAATTAGTCTGTGTAGGTGGGTGTGCAATGGTGGCAGGCAGCCTCTCTGGACCCTTGAGGGGAGAGATGGGCAGGAGCTAGAGAAAAGGGGGCATGTTTTGGTCCCAAAGCAGGGCTAAAGTACCTGAAGAGGAGACAGTTTTCTACCTGAATAGAGGAGTCAGGCATCTTGAGTGTTAAGCGAGAGCGCGGTCTGATGGCTACATCTGGATAACTGCAGGAAGCTGTGGTTTGCGGCTGCTTCTTGCCCAGAGGCCATGGTAGGACCAGGACTCAGAAGACAGTTGGGAAGGACTGGAGATCTGGCATTGCTCCAAGGGGGCACCCACGAATCCAGGGATGTGGAGTTTCTGGGGTAGAACAACATAGTAATATCCTTTTGGATTCTTCCTTCAATGTTTAAGTTATAAAGAGCCCAAAGTAGGCAGTGCCATGTGCCTCAAGTGAGGAGAAGCTAGGCTGCACCAGAAGCAGCCCTGTACTTCACATCTATTAGGGAACTCACACTCTATTTTCTGGTACTTTATCCTTGTCTGGATGGACCGGACGCACTCCAAGATGTAGTACTTGTCTCTCAGGGTCTGCAGTCAGTTTTTGAGGACACAGGGATCCAAGCAGAATCTCATGAGTTCACGGTGTCTGGGCTCACTACGGCCCTCATAATCTCTGTGGGACAAGCAAGATACCTGCTTGTTACAGAATCCCACAGTGTGGCTGGACAGATGATGGGAGAGCCTTGCCTGGCCAAGCAAGAGCTCCCACAGCTGGCGAAGAAGCCTATGGGCTTTGGGCGAAGGTCGTACAAATGAGTTCTGAAGTTCTGCCATGCCATAGGAAGTTAACATGTCATTGAAAAATGGTGACGAGGGTAGACTTTACATGATCTGATCATACAGAAAACAAGAGTTCAAGCTATTTCACACTGCACACATAAGGTGTGTATCCAATGAGCATGGAATATACTACTGTACAATTCATTATTTTCTCTGTTTTGTCTCTTTCTTTGCAACAGGATCTTGTTATGTCTCAGGATGACCTTTAACTCACCATCCTCCTGTTTCAGCCTCCCCAGTGTTGAATTGCAGACAGGTGCCACCATGAGCAGCTAATGCTTATCAGTTATACTTTTACAGATACAGAGTGTTATCTATAAAGACCTATGGGTGCTGAGCATGGTGCAATAAACACCATTCTAAATACTATCTCATAATTCCTGGATCACAACAAACGTTTTTTTTTGCTGAATTCAAACCTTGCTTTCAGGACACCCGTGACCCTGCATTAGCTACAACCGCACCTCCTTGGCATTAAGCCTCTAGAGACTCTTGTTTTGTAAGGCAGGTGTTTAGCTGCTCTCTGTGGCCTCTCTAAGCTCTGGGGACTTGCTCTACAGACCCAGGGGCCCTTGGGGAACTGGATATCAGTTAGGCAGATCCCCCCAGAGCTCCAAGGATGGGGTTAGACAGGCAGGTGTGAGCTTACATTCCAACCGCAACAGGGTAGTTTTCAGATGTCCCTCTGGGAGAGGCTTCCGCAGAAGAGGACCATGGGCACTAGAGGGTGCCTGCTGCTGGTGGAAACAAGAGACAACCTGGGGTTTGGCTACACAGAGCCATTTGCGCTGGCACAGCTCCTGGCCATCAGTGGAGGAGCAAGCCTTTTTTGGCCAGGAAACCTACCCTGCAAGTGGGGCCAGAGTTACCTTTGAACATTAGGGATAATGGAACTCAGAACAGGACAGTCACTGGGTACCATCCCCAGGCAGTGCACAGTTCTCCTCCTGTTGCTGTTGGTGGGCCTAGGAGGTGGTGTACTTTCTCCAAGCTCAGCACGAAGGAGCAGAGCCACAGGCCCTGGAGCTTCAATGAAAAGCAGCAGACCTAGTCTGTGGGCCCTGCCAGGCAGGTAAGGCACTTGCTTGTAGGTGAATATTTGGGCCCATGGACTGGAATGGGTGACTAGGAAGGAAGGTGGCCCTTGAGGCCAGAGGTGTGAGAAGGGAGGATCTGCCTGGGAGGAGGGCTCTGGGCAGATGATGGTTTAAATTAAGTTTAAACCTTGCTCATGGTGGGGTCAGTTTTCTATCAATGAACCACACCCTTAGCCCATCTCTTTTTTTCATTTTTCGAAAAGGTCTTGCTAGGTTGCCCAGGCTGATATTACTCTCTGTAGCCTAGGCACGATTTGAACTTGCCATCTTCCATCCTACACTGTCTGGAACAGCTGCGATTAAGGCCGTGGCCCAAGATCATTTTAGTGTCCCACGGTCTTAATTCATTTAGAATTAACTGTGTGTGTTCATCTTTGTCAAGTAGTTGTAGTTCTAGAAATTTATTCTTAGAGAATTATCAAATAGGACACTAAATATTATGGAAGTCTTGGGTGGGGAGAGTAGAAACTGGAGCCACAGAGATGGCTCAGTCCAGAAGACCTTGCCCCTCAAACATGAGGACCTGAGTTCAGACTCTCGGCACACATGGAAACAATGGGAAGTGATAGGCCTTGCTGCTAATGCTAGCACAGGGAAGTTTGGGTGAGCCCCGTGGCTCACTGGGCAGCTAGTCTAGCTGAATCCCTGGGCTCCCAGGTTCAGTACAAGACCCTGTCTCAGATAATAAGATGGTCTGCTCTGAGTTGCACCATGGCTGTGTTCTGCAGAGGGAAGCACTGTATTTTTCATTTGGCCTGATTTATTGGATGTTCATCAGGGAGTGAAGGGATCACTAGTTATTTCCTTTTTTTAAAGATGAGGAATCTCAGTGTATATAATCTTTGAACTTGTACTCTTTAGCTCAGTACGATACTTTTGTGATTTATCCAAGTTGTTTTATCAATATTTTGTTCTTGGATTACTGAACGGGATCCCACTTTTAATAATCATAGCTAAAGAAAAAAATTAATGAAACATTAAAATTTTTAATAAATCATAATTAAAAACATTAGAAATGATCAAGAAAATGGAAGAAATAAAAGCAAAATTATAAAACCACTCTTCATATAGGTTGAACATATCTACTCAAAAATGTTCCAAACTCCCAAGCTTCACGAGTGCAAACCTAGCTCTGCTCGTGGAGAATTGTGTAATTGGCCTTATGGCCAAAATGCAGGCATACTGGGAATGTCGTATTATGGTCTCATAGTCAAGATATATGCACACTGGGAATGCTGTATAATGACCTCATAGTCAAAATGCAGGCACACTGGGACTGCTATATAAAAACACTTCCAGACTATTGTATGGTGTGCATATCAAATATAAATACTGCTTCGTTTAGAGTTGGGGCTCATTCCTCACAGATCAGATATGTGCAAAAAAAAATCCCCAAATCTGAAATATTTAAGAGTTTCAGGTAAGGAAATCTTTACTTGTGACAGGGTGGAGGTCATCATAGTAGGTGCTATAGTTGAAGGTATGCATCAGAAATACTTTGTCCCAACACATTTAAAACACAAGCTATCAAAATGATACAAGAACAACACAAGCCTGTAGTCCTTCTTCTGTGGAAAAAAACTCAATGCTGATGTGGAAAACTGCTCTTTCCCTTTGGAAGCCTCTTCCAGCATGTGACAGTGTTGTCTGTTCTTTACTTGAGAACGGGACATTGTGCAGAGGACACTGTAACACTGGTGATGGTAGACTGTGGTCCTCACTACACTGTGATCTTGGCTGGACAATTTGGCAAGATGCTTCAACATCATTAGGTATTTTTCCTTGACTTAGATCTTACCGCCGTTTTCCTGGAAGATTAAAAACTAGCTTCTAGTATTTGGGGACACTAAAAGAGAAAAGAGGCCTTAAAGAATTTCAGCTTTCAAGGTGTAGGCGTTCACTTAACTTTCAGTTCCAGTGTGGTAATTGACTTCAATTGGACATGGCACCCCCTAGTTCAGATTTATTGTCATTTTCCTTTATGGCTATGTTCAAAGTAGGTGGTATGCAGCTTTGGGGAAGAGTCCTAAACATTTCTTTTGTAAACAGATTTCACGTTCATTTTCATATAACCCCATCATTTAAGTTGTAGCTCTTATTCTGAGATCTCTGATCAGCTCATGTGTGTGGCATGAGGCAGGGAAGTGACTGTCCCTTTGTCTGAGCCATTTGTTGAATGGTAATTCTCACTTTGAACTGTTATGGCGCCTTTGCCAGCAGGTCAGTCATGAATGTTTATACTATCCAGAGTGACTAGACTCAATGTAACCCCTATCAAGATTCAATCACCTTTTTTTCCCTCACATAAATAGAAAAGAATAAAACTGGGTGTGGTAGTGCACACCTTTTATCCCAGCACTTGGGAGGCAGAGGCAGGCAGATATCTGTGAGTTTGAAACCAGGCTGGTCTATTTAGTGATTTCCAAGTCATCCAGCGATATAGTGTGAGACCCTGTTTCAACACACAAATAAAGCAAACAGACGAACATCTTGAAATTCATATGTGGCACAACAGCACAACCAGTGACCCTTCCTGAAGAATCTGGCAAAGACCTCTGTGATAAACACAACGGCCAAAGCAACTTGGGTAGGAAAGTTCTTGTGCTTTCACATCACAATTCATCACTAAAGGAAACCAGGACGGGAGCTCAGACAGAGTGGGAAACTAGAGCCGGGAGCTGGTGCAGAGGCCACAGAGGAATGCTTCTCACTGTCTTGCTCTCCATGGCATGCTCATCCTTCCTTCACCAGTTATTTCGTTTTAAACTTTACTGTATGTGCATTGATGTGAAGGTGTCAGGTCCCCTGGAACTGGAGTTACAGACAGCTGTACCTGTGAGCTGCCATGTGAGTGCTTGGGATTGAACCCATGTCCTCTGGAAGAGCAGTCAGTGCTCTTAACTACTGAGTGATTTCTCCAGCGTCCACATCTTAAAAAGGATTTATTTATTTCTTATATATAGTGTGCCTGCAGGCCAGAAGAGGGCACCAGATCTCATTACTGATGGCCGTGAGCCACCATGTGTTTGCTGGGAATTGAACTCAGGACCTTTGGAAGAACAGACAGTGCTCTTACTTGCTGAGCCATCTCTCCAGCTCCTCCCCCACCCATTGTTTTTGAGACAGGGTTTCTCTGTAGCTTTGGAGCCTGTTCTGGAACTAGCTCTTGTAGACCAGGCTGTTCTTGAACTCACAGAGATCTGATTGCCTCTGCCTCCCAAGTGCTGGGATTAGACTTGTGCCACCACCACCCAGCAGCTTTCTTTCTTATAGAACCCAGGATGACCTCCTCAGGGTTGGCCCCACCCACTATGGGCTGGATCCTCCCACATCAATCACTAATTAATTAAGAAAATGCCTCAAAGGCTTTCCTACAGCCAGATCTTAAGGAGGCATTTTTTCAGTTGATGCTCCCTCCTCTCCAATGTTGCTAATGCTAGCACAGGGAAGTTTGGGGGAGCCCTGTGGCTCACTGGGCAGCTAGTCTAGCTGAATCCCTGGCCTCCAGGTTCAGTACAAGACCCTGTCTCAGATAATAAGATGGTCTGCTCTGAGTTGCACCAAGCTGTAGCTTGGATCAAGTTGATATAATACTAGCCAGCATATCCTCTGGCCAAGTAAATGTCTCCTAGCCATGCTGTAGGAATCACTTTCTTTGTTTTTGAGAAATAAATTTTGAATGACTTTTAGTAGGTGATAGTAGGTTGCAATTGTTATTTACTTTGAAATCTATCTTGTATCAGTTAATAAAGAACAAAATTTAGAAATCATATACAATGTGGAAGAAACTTGAAGACATTGTGTTTAGTGAAATAAGCCTGACCCCAAAGGACCAATAGTGATTCCACTCATGTAGAGTACCTCACAAGTGTAGATTCATAGCAAGGGCACAGTCAATGTGACAAGAGGCAGGTGGAGGGGAATGAGAAGTTATTGTGTAATGAGTACAGAAACACTGTATGATTGGGGAAGGGTCCACAACAGTATGAGCGTATATCCACACCAGAGCAGGTACAGATGACGTAAATGGGAAAATACACTGTCTTCCTACACAGTCTAGGCTGACGTTAAACTCCTGATCCTCCCGTCTCCTAATCCCATACACTGGCATTGCCAGCACATGCCACCGTGTCTGACTTGTTACGTTTATCTTATCACAATTTTTGCATTTATATTTGCTTAATTGTTTTATGTTCTTATAATTTTAAAGCAATAGGGATTTTAAGCAAAAGCATTATTCTGCATCATAAAAACCTAATTACTCCTTATAGTAGCAGTGATTTATAAGGTAGAAGAAGAGTCATGGTTGTTTCAAAGATAGAAAGAACTGATGGAGTCAGGGTCATTCTCATCTGGACACAATGAGTTTGGGTATTTGTTGTACGAGGAGGCTGCCCAGACTCCCGAAATAATCACCCAGAAACCATATTATTTGCAATACTGTTTGGCCAATAGCTTAGGCATATTTTTGGCTAACTCTTATATTCTAAACTAACCCATCTCTATTAATCTGTGTATTTCCACGTGGCTGTGACTTACCGGGTAAAGTTCCATCTGGGGTCTGTCTCTGGCGGTGCTACATGGCTTCTGCTGACTCTGCCTTCTTTCTTCCAGAATTCAGTTTAGTTTTCCCTACTACCTATATTCTTCCCTGCTTTGCTATAGACTCAAAGCAGTTTCTTTATTAACCAATGGTATTCATAGCATACAGAGGGGAATCTCACATCACCTCCTCTTTTCTGTTTAAATAAAAAGGAAGATTTTAACTTTAACACAGAAAATTATATGTAACAAAGCAGTTGTCAAGCAAGAATTACAGTTACAATATTTATATTACTTTATCTTTTATCATAACTAATGAAAACCATAATTATAACTATATTTTATTCAACTCCATCAAAGACCCCAGAAGGATATAATATTACCCAAGTAAACAGAAAGTTCATTGTAAACAACTTTGAAAACTCTAGAATTGACAGAGACATCCCACCTCCTGGACAGTCACCCAAAGTTCTTTTTTTTATCGCTAACAGTTATTTTATTTATTATTATTATTATTATTAATTTACAAAGATTTCCACTTCCTCCCCTCCTCCCAATACCCTCCCACTCCCCCCCACTCCCTCTCCTCCTCCCTCTCCAGTCCTAAGAGCAGTCAGGGTTTCCTGCCCTATGGGAAATTCAAGTTCCTCCCCCCTCCCTCCGGGTCTAGGAAGGTGAGCATCCAAACAGACTAGGATCCCAAAAAGCCAGTACATGCAGACGAAACAAGTAGCAGTTCAGCAAGCCACTTTTTACCTTTCCCGATTCCTCAGACGGCATGCTAAGACTGCCTTGAGCTCCTGTCTCCTCCTGCCTTTTATTCCTCTCTCTGCCCAGTCATATCACTCCTATATTCAACTTCCTAGTGCTGGGATTAAAGGCATGAGATCCCAAGTCCTGGGATCACCTTTGTGTGAGCTCTGTTTCTCTTTTAAAAAGACTGAATCAATTTTGTGTAGCCCAGGGTGGCCTTGAATTAACAGAGATCCATCTGCTTCGTCTCTTGAGTCCTGGGATTAAACGTGTGTGCCACCACTGCCTGGCCTCTAGTGGCTTAGTTCTGCACTGTGATTTTCAAACAAGCTTTATTTGTTAAAACACAAACAAACTACGTGCACACGTGCACACGAGCATGTACACACACACACACACACACACACACACACACACACACACACACAGACCTTCTTGGTTCCACCATTCCCATCAGTAAAGAGACACCACCCAGGAATTTTCTTTGAGAATCTTTTGGGCCTGGTGTTGCTATCAATATCGAAAAATTCAGAGATGGAAGTGGCAGATGGATAGCAAGACGTGTGGGACACTTACTGCTCATCTCCTTTCTGCCAAGGACGTAGTTCATTTACTGTGGCCGTGTGCCTGTCTTGCGCAACAGGTTCCTGTTCCAGACCATCCCACGGGGCACAGGCCCCAGGTGCTGGCCCCATGGGTTTTCATCTGAACCCCAGTCATCGTTGGTCTTTGGAGGTGGCACCCAGCTCACAGTCCTAGGTAAGCGGCTCTCCTGATCCGACTGCCTCAGAAAAGTCTGGTTTCCCTCGAGGGCGTTCTCCCCATCTACCTTCCCCAGCTTACAGCCTGACATATACTGCTTTCTGTGGGTAAGGGAGAGGCGGCAGTCTTAGGGTAAACCACAGGAAGGACCCCAATAACTTCATCTACTCTTTAGAGACAGATCCCTAACAGGGTTTGAAGGCTGGGTTTTCAGGCCTTAAAGACCACTAGACCTCAGCATCTGAAATGAGGCCCAGATGCATATCCAAACTGCGAAGGCCACATAGTAGGGCCATCTGTATGGCTGGTGCCATGAACCCACACATA